AAAAGATCTTAAAAGCCGTTTAACACATTATTTCTGTGTCAGTACAGAAACCCCTCCAAAAATACCTCTAGCAGATAATTTTCCATCCTCTTTTTAATTATTTTCAGTGATGAGGGGCTTGATGTTTTCTGAGATTATACAGTTTTACTGAGTAGTTTTTAGGATTTGAAAGTGGTTCCTTTTACTGCGCCAAAATATGCTTCCTTGTTCTCCTGTTCATGAGCAGTGGTCCAGCCGTCTGAAACTGCACAGAGTAAGTGCACTTAAAGAAATAGTTGACCTATTATAAGCCATCCCTCTCTTTACACCTTTTTCCTTCTCTCTCCAACTCTTCATTAGGTTAGACACCAGTTCACATAAGCTATTCCTATGACAAGCTTCTAGTCTTCTAGAAAAGTTAACTTGACTTTTTTTTCTCATGTTTGTGGCTAGTTTAAGGTCTCATGTATAGTAAGTGTTCAGTTTCACATAAATGAATAATTTACGTAAGTTATTTTTTAAAAAAGGACATAAGCTTTTTTTAAAAGCTTTTTTCCAGCTTTATTGAAATATAATTGACATACAATATAGAACATTGTGTATGTTTAAGGTGTACAGAGTGATAATTTGATACACATATATATTGCAAAATGATGACCACAATAAAGTTAACAGATCCTTCACCTCATGTAAATACCATTTTGTTGTGGTGGTGAGAACACTTAAAATTTACTCTCTTGGCAACTTTCAAGTGTATAATACAGTATTAACTATAACCACTTTTCTGTACATTAGATCCCCAGAACTTACTCATCTTAAAACTGAAAGTTTGTACCCTTTGATGAGTGTTTCCCTATTTCCCCCACCCCCAACCCTCTGGAACCACCAATCTAATTGTTTCCATGAATTCAGCCTTTTCAGATTCCACGTGTAAATGATATCATACAGTATCTGTCTTTCTCTGTCAGACTTTTTCGCTTAGCATAATGCCCTGAGGTTTCATCTGTGTTATCACAAATGGCAAGATTTCCATTTTTTTATGTCTGAAAAAACCTCCATTGTACATGCAGTATATATATACATATATACATATATACACACCACATTTTCTTTATCCATTCATCTGTCGATGGACACTTAGGTTGTTTCTGTGTCTTGGCTGCTATGAATAATACTGCAGTGACAAGGGAGTGCCGATCTCTTTGAGATAGTAGTTTATTTCAACTCCTCTGGGTAAATACTTGGAAATGAGGTTGCTAGATCATATGATAGTTCTATTTTTAATTTTTTGAGCAATAGCCATATTGTTTTTCATAGTAGCTGTGCGAGTTTACATTCCCACCAACAGTGCATAAGGGTTTTCTCTACATTCTTGCCAGCGTTTGATTTCTCTCATTCATTTGTTCGTAGTCATTCTAACAGGCATGAGGTGAAATCTCATTGTGGTTTTGATTTGCATTTCCCTGATAATTAGTAATGTTGATCACCTTTTCATGTACTTCTTGGCTATTTGTCTTGTTTGGAAAAATATATATTCATATCCTCTGCCCACTTTTTTTTTCCCTCTGCCCTTCTGTTTAGAATACCTTCTATTTAATTGGATGGTGATGATGATGATGATGATGATGATTCTATTGAGTTGTAAGAATTCCTTATCTATTTTGGATATTAACCCCTTATCAGATATATGGTTTGCAGATATTTTCTCCCACTCCATAATTTGCCTTTTCATTTTGTTGTTTCTTCTGCTGTGCAGAAGCTTTTTAGTTTGATGTAGTCCCATTCGTTGATTTTTGTTGCTTATGCTCTTGGTGTCATATCCAAAAAATCATCGCCAAGACCAGTGTCAAGGAGCCTTTTCCTTTGTTTTCTTCTTTGTTTTGTTTTACAGTTTCAGGTCTCATATATAAGACCTTAATCCACTTTGAGTTAATTTTTATGAGTGGTGTATGATAGGGATCCAGTATCATTCTTTTGCTTGTGAATATTCAGTTTACCCAGCACCATTTTTTAAAGAGACTATCCTTTTCCCCTGTGAGTATTTCTTGGCTCATTTGTCAAATGATTCTATACGTATGAATTTATTTCTGGACTCTCCATTCTGCTCCATTAGTCTGCATGCCTGTTTTTATGCCAGTATCATATTGGTTTGTTTATATATATATAACTTTGTAATATAGTTTGAAATCAAAAAGTTGATGCCTCCAGCTTCGTTCTTTCCCAAAATTGCTTTGCCAGTTTAGGATCTCTTGTGGTTCCATACGAGTTTTAGTATTGTTTTTTTTTCCATTTTTGTGAAAAGTGGAATTTTGATAGAGATTGTATTGGATCTATAGGGATATAGTTTTTTTTTATAAAAATACTTGTAATGAATATTTCTACCTTTTAAGTGAGTTGATAAATATTTCAATATTTCTCAGTCTTAATTTCTAACACAGTAAATATTGATAGATATAACCTCTAAACAAAACCTTTTTAGGGTCTTCAATAATTTTTCAGAGTGTTAAGGAATCCTGATACTGAAAAAAATTAAGAACCACTAGTTTAGAAAAAACTAAATTTTTTCCTAGATGGAAAAAATCTAGGTCTTTCCGTACATTCTGGTACTCCAGGTCTCTTTTCAGAATATCACCTTTTCTTTGTTTTTTAGAGATCAAAGGACTTGAAGTTCTATTTCTGTCCCTGATTCTCCTCTGGAACTAAGAAGCTTGTCAGTCTTCCAAAAATAACAATTCTTTGTTTTTTCCTCTTTAGATTTGATGGTAGAGTGGTGGCAAAACTCCCTTTCACTCCACTTTCCTACATCCAAGGACTGTCTCATCGAAATCTGCTGGGGGACGACACCACTGACTGTTCCTTCATCTTCCTGTATATTCTCTGCACCATGTCGATTCGACAGGTGAGTGACCACATCCACTATTTAATGTATATGTCCTTCCTTGCTCTCCTATCCTAAATTAGTGTTTGGTTCTGTCATACTGAAAGTGTCTGCCTGCTGCTACTGAGATCTTTCAGTTGCTTATTTTAGCTTTCCAGTGTATCATCTAAAGCTGTTTTAAATGTATATAGGTCTAGATTACTGATCCTTAGGGATGGGAAGTAGCCATAAAACCAAACATGGTTCCACATCCTATTTTTAGAGCTCTCAAGTTTCTTCTTTATTGCAATTATCTAAATAGAAAAGTAGAGTAGGATTTTGTCTTCCTGTTGTCATTTCTCCTTTATTATACACCAGTGCCTTTTGGCACTTCAGGAACACAAGTAAGCGTAATAATTTGGTGACTTTAAGTTGTTCACAGTTGAGATAAAGTCTGGAATTTACATTTGAGCAACAGGATGATCAGACTTTCGTAGTGAAAGAGTGAGAGCGAATAGAGGCGTATAGGGGTGTGAGAACCTGGGAGAGAGACATAACATTCAGTTAGTAGGGGAAGATTCAGGCAGAAAGTTTGAGAGTGAAGTGGCTTTTGAGATGGGACTTTAGCAAGTAAGAGGGGCTAAAGTCACTGGCTCAGGAACTCTATGTTCCAGGGCATTATTTGGCTCTTGAACATACTGTCATTCAGCAGGTAGTGCAGTGGGGAGGTTGGCACACGCATGAAGTATGATCATGATTCTTTCAATGTTTGTTACATAAGTGATTCTTTCACAGCTGTCTTTCGTCTTCTTTGAATACTGTCTGTGACAGCAGCATTTTGGTTGGTCTGGCACGTGGGAATAAGTAGGAGATGGAATTATAGTCTGAAATTCTCAAAGATCTTCATGCTCTTACTGCCTAATGCTTCATCTCCCATCTCATCCAGCACTCCAGCCATTGTGACCTGTCTGACAGTTTCCACATGCCACTCATTTTTTGTGAACTGCTCTCCCTTCTATCTGGGTGCCTCCCACCTTCTGCATATTAAATGCAACTAAGTTTCAAGGCTTCCTGGAATCATTTTGTGATGCATACTGCATTCTGAAGGATAAATGTGAAAGGGACATGCCCAGACGTGGAAATGTCAGAAGACTGTTATAGTAGCCTAGCAAAAAATCATGTTCTAAGCTATTACAGCAATGAGAGGGATGAAAAGGAGGGGACAAAGTTGAGAAATACATAGAGGTGAACCAGTAGAACTTAGTGATTGATTTAATGTGAAGGAGAAACTAAGGTGACACTCACATTACGGCTTTGGTGACCAAATGAAGGTTGGGAATAGAGGAAAGAGGAGTAGGTTGGTTAGAAGACTTGCTGCTTGAGGACTTTGTGGGGCCTCAAGTTGGGATGTCCGCCAGGAAGTTGTATTCTTGTGCAGCCAGGGTGTGTACTGCACCTGGTGAAATGCTTTAGCATTTTGGCTTACCCAAAGATGAAAGCCAAGACAGTGACAACATAGATCTCTTTGTTGGTTTGACAGAGGTCCATTGATATGTAGACTATTGCTCTTAAATTTGATTATTTAAATATGAAGTTTTAAAATTGTAGCTGGGGTCGAAATGTTAATAAAATGCAATGATGTATACTTTCTATTTTAAGCGACAAAGAGCAATTGTATTTTAATTATATGCAGATGTTACTGCTTTATTTGTGATGGCTCACGGTAGTCATTTTATTTTATATTATTTTATTATTATTATTATTTTTTTTACAGTAGTCATTTTAGATGCCCCATTTGTACTGCTCCCTGGACACTGGTACTTAGAAGTCACCATCTGAAACTGGAGTTTTTTTAAATGAAATAAAGGTTAAGAATGATCATTGAGGAAGTTCAGCTCAAGCTGGTCTTTAAACTCCTTCCAGTTATTTCAAAAAGTCTGGTGAGGCGTATGTCTAGCAGTTAATTTTATCAGGCATGCCATGGTCATTTACCAGTGTGGTCAGCAAACTTTCTGTAAGGATCTTGATAATAAATATTTTTGTATTTATTTTTCAGGCCGTATAGTTTCTATCACAATTACTCGGCTTTGACATTGTAGTATGAAAGCACCCTAGACAATATGTAAGTGAATGAGTTTGGCTGTGTTCCAGTAAAACAGGCAGCAGACCAGCTATGCTAACCCCTGAGGACCAGAGTGTACACCATGCGCTGTGAAGTAGGAACATCCACAAATACTAGACTGGTAGGGCTGAGTGAAATAATTGCGTATTGAATACAAAAAAGGGCAGGGGTAGGGAAGGGGCAGCAGAAAAACACAAAAGAATCCCATGTGTTTGTTTGCAGCCAAGGAGGATGTATACTCACGTTTTTCACTTCTGCTTGCCTGGCTCCGTGCACCAATATTAATAAGAGAAGAATATATAGAGCTATAGTGTAGGTATTCTGAGATATTAAAGATCTTCGGAAAATCACTGAAATGACCTATTTCTATAATTTTTGTTTTATTAGCTGCAAATAGTTTCTGTACCTGTTCTTTATTGCTTGTTAGTTTTTATACTGGAGGATTATGAACTTGTATCCAGTGTGAAACACTTGAGCATTTGAAGTGTTACTAGGGGATATATACTTCTTTTTTTTGATTTAAAATGCATATCAGCTTGCTCTTTCCATGTTTTGTTTTGTCGTTTTGTTTACTTTTTAGGATCTTAGGTTATATCTCAGTTGACTCTATAGATACCTGAGACATGAACAGTCAAAATATGAGGCTTTCAGATTATAAACTGTACTATGATTTCTTCAATGAGGTCATTCTCAGGCAAGGAAATAGGTCACTTGGTTTCAGATATGCACTGTAGCATAAAGTAATTTTAGGAGAACATATGAATTGGGTTTTTTGTTTGTTTGTTTTGGGTTGTAAAGATGAGGGAACTAAATAGAATGATTCCAGTTTCCATCACAGTTTTTCATATTCTGCCTTATATTACAGGATTTTTTGTTTATTTTTGTCTGCTTCTAATTTTCATCTGTTTTCTTCTCCTTTCCTCTCCAACTCTTTTAAGGTAGTAATTTTTTTTTTAACATTTTTTATTGATTCATAATCATTTTACAGTGTTGTGTCAAATTCCAGTGTTCAGCACAATTGTAGTAATTTTTTTAAATGGTTTGAAACAGTCTCCTCAATATTACAATACTGAATACTGATGTATCTACTTACTCACACGTGCAACTTTCAAAAAAGAGAAAACAGTATCACAAAGGTTATTTTATGCTTCTAGATATGTCCCACCCCACCCTTTTTACCACTTAACAATCTCATGGATATGCTTCCAGGTGTGTATTAAGGTAGTAATTTCTTAATTGTGTTTATATATGTTATAGTTCCTATGCATGGTACATAGTATGTACCTGAAAAGCACATGTTAAACAAACAGTGGATGCGTCACCAAAGTATAAACTTATAAACTGGGTAAATTGGAGTTTTACCATTTTTCACTCCCTAGAGCTATGCATGAAAAATTCATGGTTTCCTCAACCTCCAATAGAAATTATCAGACTTCTGGGGTTTTAACAATCTAATAGATAAGAATTGATATCTCATTGTAGTTTCAATTTGCATTTGCATCTAGCGTCTCTATTTGTCTGAGAGCTGTTTATATATTTTTTCATTCTTTGGTGGTCGAGAGATTGTATGCTCTTTGCCTGTTTCTCTCTTGGGTTGTTGGTCTTTCTCTTAATTTTTAGCTCTTAGCCCTCTCTGTATGCTGCAAGTTGCAAATAATTTTTGCAAATGGTTATTTGTGTTTCAGTTTTACTTAGAATGGTTTTTGTCCAGGCAAAATCTTATTTGCTGGATTTTTTTTTCTTTTTTGGTCAGGTTTATTAGTCTTTTATGGCTTTTGGATTTTTAGTCATGGTTAGAAAGTCCCTCTCTACACCAAAGTTGTAAAGAAAGTCACCCTTGTTTTCTTTGAGAACTTTTTGGTTTCATTCCTTATATTTAAGTCATGGGTTGACCCATTTGGCGCTGATAGTAGTGTACCTTATTTATTCTTTCTTTGCTCTCTTGTACTTTGCCAACTCTTACGTGATTTTTATGAGGGAAAATGTAAAAACATGGATTCATTTGAGATCAAAGGTTGCCTACCCCTTTTTTCAAAGACTTAAGAAGCCAGAGGGTGAAAAGAATGCAGTGCGGTGAATGATTGTTCTTGAATGTGGTGGGTGTTTGAATTGCTGAATCCCTGTCAGCAGCCTGCTCTGAGTATTCTCTCCAGAGTGCTTGGCTAAATTCCTCTCTGAAATTTGAAAGTCTGTTCAGATCCAGTGGCAAGTGTTTAATTAGGGACACTCCTACGTTCTTCACACCTTGTTTAGATAATCAGGTCTTTTGGAATGTGCTGGTGTTAAATACACAGGGCAGGCTAAGCAGTGTGTTCTGAACCTCTTGAGTAAAAGAATATGGAAGAGTGGGTCAGAACACGTGTGTGTCATGCCTGGAGAGTCTCAAGGTTTAAACTTGTCAGCTGACTGCTCGTGATAGCAGTTTTCCTGAGGAATTCTCAAGGCATCTCTCTTAAGCCTAGAAACTACTTTCTGGTTTCCTGTATCCAGTAATTCCAGTGCTGATAATCTCTGTTTATGATGATAAGATAGATACAAACTTTGCTGTTCTAACCATTTCACCTGTACAGTTCTATGACATGAAGTACAGTTTACATTATCGTACAGCCATCTTCACTATCCATCTCGCGAACTTTATCGTCTTCCCAAGCTGAAAATCTTGTGCCTATTAATTAACTCCGCACTACCCACTCCCCTCCTCAGTCCCCGGCAGCTGCCATGCTACTTTCTGTCTTTGTGAAGTTGATTGACCTCATATGAGTATAGTCATACGATACTTACCCTTTTATAACTGGCGTAGTGTTTTCAAGGTTCATCCGTATTGTAGCATGTGTCAGAATCTCCTTCCTTTTTTGGGGGTGAATAGCTAAACCAGACGTGGTATACACATAGTATGGAATGTCTGTTCATCTGTCAAAAG